GATAATCGTAATATAATTGAATGTCCGCACTCCTCAGAATCCCCTTCGGAATCGGTAGAAATCGAGGTTGTTGAGGATGAAACCAAAGACTGGCCACTATCTAGGAATAACAGTGATCTTTCACTTCCCAAAACTCTATCACCAAAAAGAACCCGAAAACCGAAGTTGAAAGCCACATCCACAATAGGAAATACTCCCATACGGCCAAATATACCTGGTACCTCATACGTACAATTACTAGTACATGACATCGAGTTGCGAGACTCCACCTCCTCTTAGTGCTTGATGAATTGCCCAGAACAACTTTCGCACAAGCATACCTCGAACGCCGATCAAGAGTTTCCCCCACTTAACCAACCATACACACAAAACAACACCCCACAAAAAAGGGGAAGGACACTACATTCTCGTCAACCGCATCTTCGGAGAACACACCTGCAAAAAAGATATACACCACGCAAAGTAAGCCCCAATTAAACGCAAACAAACCTGCAAAATCATAAATGAGCCTAGATGTATACAGCATAAACATAAACGGAATGAACTCAAAACTTGCGACCTAGAAAAATAGATACGACAACAAACCCCGGATGTACACCACCTAAATGAGTTAAACATAAAAAATTGGGCGGGTAAACTAGGATATGAAATCTTTGTAAACTCAATGAGCAATAGCATAAGGGGGCTAGCGCGAAAAGCAACTCTCGTCTCAAACAGCCACAAGATACACCCACCTTATCTCCTAGAAAGCCTGGACATAAAGTTTAAATCCTATAAAGAAATTTAATATATATGCACCCGCAATAAGGGGATACGGCCAAACTTCATTCATCCGAAAAATGGCAGACATAATCAACCAACACGATTACAACAACAAATATATCATCATTGGCGACTTCAACTGCGTTCTTAGCGATAAGGATAATCAATATATGCTTCAAACGCCGCAGAAAAATGTCTAGCAACCTTTATAAAAGACAAAAAATATTTTGGACTATTTCAGAACGAAATATCCACATAATAAGACATACTCATACGTTAGAAAAAACTACGGCAGCAGAATAGATAGAGTATACCATAGCAAAATGTTGGACACATTTATAGATGAATGTGGCTATAAGATCAACTCTCCGACCATACGCTTTTGCCCTATGTCAAAATAAAAGGCTCAATTAAGATCAGATGGGGAAAAGGGGTGTGGAGAAACAACATTAATTTTATATAGATCAAAATTATAGAGAGGTAATAAAAACTATATACAAACAAGCAAAGTCCAATCTGCAATACTCCCACTCCCTCCAGGTTAAGGACAGGATAAAAAAAAGCAACTAAATCCTACCCGTATCACAAGGCGGAAAACAAAAGAGACAAAATTGCTCAACATAAACAAAAATTAGAAAAATTGATAAAAGAAGGTGACCCCACAAATATCGTCCAAATCGAAGATGTAAAAAAGTATTTGATAAAAGAAATAAAAGAAAAGCAGAAATTGGACAAGATTAGGGCATGCATGTCAAATACAGAAGAAGGCGAAACACCATCCAGAACATTCTATGAAAGAATCCAATTACGAGCTAAACAAACCCAAATACAGAAAATAAGAACCAACAGTGAGCAAATAGTCGAGAATATAGACAGTCACCGTCACCAAAGCAGTAAAAGGTTTTTATGAAAAATTATGGGGGACTAATAAAAATACAGAAAAAAGGGAGATGTTTTATTTCCTAGACCAAATGGTGACGCCCCAAATCTCTACAGAAAATAACACATTAGCCAGTAGTCCCATAACAGAAGAAGAAGCCCTAAATGTTATCAGATCAATGCCTAAAAACAGGTCTCCCGGATGGATGGGCTCTCCATAGAGTTTTACCTAACCTTTTGGGAACTAATTAAAAATGAATTTCTTCAACCAGCTAACATCATACTAGAGTTTGGAGTCTCAAAAATTAAGGACGACGACAATTCGGACTCGGAACGGTATATCACACAGGAAGAAGTGTACAGACCAATAAAATTTATGGGAAATGATAAATCCCCAGGCTTTGATGGATAATCTAAAGAATTCTATTTGACTTTCTGGGACCTATTTAAAATTCAATTTACCCAACTTATGAATAACATATTGTGTTTCGGCCAACTTCCAAAATCTGCCAGCATAGCGAAAATTAAAAATATTATACAAAAAGGATGACAAGAAAAATTTGAAAAACTGGAGACCGATTACCACGTTAAATGCAGCATACAAAATCCTGTCGAGAATTCTTGTTAAACGGTTGGAACCAGTATTAAACGAAATTATAAGTCCATCCAAGAAATGTGCACTTCAGCAAAGACGCATGGAAGAGGTCCATTACAACATAGACGTCATCATTAGATATAGTAAAATGAAAAACATCCCGGAATCACTAATACTATTGACAACCTCAAAGCATCCGATAGGGTAAACCGTAGCTTCTTATTTAAAATTTTACAACAAATCGGACTCGGAAACAGAATACTAGAAGCAATCAAAAGCATGTACAATGAAATAAAAAGTCAAGTAGACATAAATGGTAGACTTTCGTAGGAAATAAACATCGGGCAAGAGATTAGGCAAGGATGCCCGCTAAGTATGTTGCTCTACGCCATCAACATAGAGCCACTTGCAATATCGGTCAAACTGAATCCAAATATTCATGGCGTAAAGTTAGGGGGATATGAACACAAACTCGATCAGTACGCAGATGACGTCACATTTGCAGTTAGGGATCGATCATCTATCACCGAAATTTTCAGGAGTTAAACAGATTTTATTTGGCAACAGGACAACAAATTAATAAAGACAAAACAGAAATTCTATGCATTACGAAAATATCTTACAACTCAGTATACAACTCGCCTCATAGGGAATACATTAAAGAAAACACCAGAATACTTGGGATGCAATTTGGAAATATGGGACTCGACAAAATGTGGCAGGATATTGAGAATAGGCTAATCAGCACTATAAACTACATCAACCTGCGCAACCTAACCGGGTACGGCAAACTAATAACAATGAACTCCCTAATCATGTCAGTCGTAACGTTTCACGCAAGAGTAAAAAGAATTCCCCAAACCTATGCAAAGAAAATCGAAAGTGCGCTTTTTAAATTCTTATGGCACCCTTACAAGATCGAGGCCATAAGTGGAAAATCCTTAAATAGAATGTGGAAAGATGGCGAGATTAATATGGTGGATGTAGACGCCTAGATAAAAGCATGCATGGTGGAAAAAATGAGACCCATCGTGAGTAATAAACAAGGACAGATACACCAACTCAATGCCCCACAGCGATACGATTCCAGAACAATGGGCATACATTCTGGGCATATTCAAAGAACTAAATATTTTGCAATCCACCTGGGAGGTTGCAAGACATAAGGATATGTATATGAAACTGAAAAACAACAAGGCAGCCAAACAAGAACAACAACTACAGAATATAAATTGGCAGAAAGTTCATTTATTTAATAAGGAATACAGAAGTAAGTTTACCAACGCGGAACGAATTAGCTCATATCGCATTGTACGAGACGGATACGTATTTGGCGACCGCGTGAGGAGAATGTCCCTAATATACGATGCATATGGAACCCTGAAAATATCAGGCTGCAAATTTTGCAAAAAACCCCATGGACAGTACTAAACATATATTTCTGGACTGCCTTTCAACAAAGAAATACATAGCAGAAATTACCAACTTTCTTAACAGCGTATTAAGTACCACTTTTAATATCACGAGAGAGGAAATCTTTTACAATAGCTATAGTGGTCCCAGTTCAACAGCTGTTACCAAATGTTTCGTCATAATGAAACAACAATTAATTGGCACAAAGATAAAACTAGATATCCAGAATCAATATATGGCCCCCACGGATGACATCACGGTTTCGAAAACGGCACTATTCCTAACCACTATGGAATACAAATTTAACGACCTCCAGTTTCTAGGAATATCAACTAACTGGAACGAGATCCTAAATGAATATCCATCAATGAAACTTCGACCCCTGGAAAAAACTCCTGCCATCTCAAATTAAACGTTCCGAACACAAAGATAAACCTTGACCCACCACAAGCACCAGCATATCTGCCGAACTAGACTTTGCCAATTTATCCGTTTTTATGTCCGAAATACCATCTCACATATAGCGGATGTGATGAATCGGAAGCTTCACGGCCAAAGTCATGCTGCATTAAAAGCAATGTGTACGGAAGCCGGGGTGACGGAAGTTATTCTGTGCCATGCATGACATGGGCGGAAGCCCTGGGCGAAAGTTATACCATGCTACGCATAGCATTTACAGAAGCCTGTGGTCGAGGTCTGTGTCTTGTTGGTGCGCGGCGCAAACCGAAGCCCCCAGAAGTAGATGACTACTGCACGCAGTAGCATGCTTATGAAGCGATATACCGATATGATTCGGATATGACGTGTCTTTAAGGCACTGATCCGAAAGTGGAAAAATTCTGATCCGCAAAAGTGAAAATAGAAAAAGAAAAAAAAGTCATGCTGTGTGCGTGTTGCACGTTTTCACACAGGGTGTACGGAAGCCGGGCCGGCAAAAGTTGAGCTGTGCTACGCGCGGCACTGACGGAAGCCCTGGGCGGACCTCATGCTATTTGGCACATAACATGTACAGAAGCTCAAGGTTGAAGTCTTTGTTGGGCAAGGCTTTGATGATACGAAAGCCGGGGAGGTGGAAGTTATGCTGTGCCCTGCATTGCATGGACGGAATCCCCGGAAGAACGTTGTGCTGTGATATACAGCACGTTCCGCACCCCGGGGTGGAAGTCTGTGCCGTGCAATGGTTCAGCTAATACCAAAGCCTCCTTTAATGTATGACTGCTGCTTACGCAGTGGCATGCTTACAAAGCGTTATACCGATATGACTCGGATATGACGTGTCTTTTTGAAACTGATCCGAGACTTGGAAAAAACTTTGATCAGTAAAAAAAAATGAATAAAAAAATTGTAAACAATGTCTGAACGAGGTAAAGGAGGCAAAGGTTTGGGAAAGGGGGGGAGCAAAGCGTCATCGCAAAGTGTCGCTTGACAACATCCATAGAATCACAAAGCCCGCAATCAGACGTTTGGCACGCAGAGGAGGTGGTGTCAAACGTATATCGGGAATCATCTACGAGGAAACTAGAGGAGATCTCAAAGTATTCTTGGAGAATGTTATCCGTGACGCCGTGACATACACCGAGCATGCCAAAAAAAAGACTGTTACAGCCTTGGACGTCGTGTACGCTCTGAAAAGACAAGGACGAATCCTCTACGGGTTCGGCGGTTAGATAGCTCATTCAACGTTTCAACAACGGCTCTTTTCAGAGCCACCCATGCCATTGTCAGAACTGGGGTTGTTTCATTAGTTTTGAAGTTTCACACTCGACCATTATATTTACATATATATCGCCTACTTTTGTCGTTTTGCTCGTGGACTCGGGCAACTTTACGCCTTTTTTGGCGGCGGTCTTTTTCACAGTCTTCTATTTGGGGGCCGACTTCTTGGGAGTCTTTTTTGTCGCCTTCTTTGCGGCGGGCTTCTTCGCAACCTTCTTTACGGTGGCCTTTTTAGTTCCAGTAGCGGTTTTCTTGGCCTTGGGCTTCTTTGCGGCTGCCTTCTTCACGGGTGTAGTCTTCGGTTTCTTGGCTGCTGGCTTTTTCTTCTGTGCCGACGCAGTCTTATTTTTCTTTGGCGGTTCCTTTATGGTAAGTCTGTAGCTTCTGGGTGCTTTTGGCAAATCCGTTTTAAGCGCGTCTTCGTCGACCAGACTTTTGAGGGCCCTCTTAAGGTGGATTTTCGCTTGATTTGATTTCACACTGTAATTTGCTTCGACGTATTTCTTTATGGCGGCTCGCGAGGATCCATTTTTAGTGTGAGTAGCTTTCACGGCGGCCATTGCCATTTCCTTGTAGGATGGATGCGCTGCAGGCGCCCGCTTCTGAACGGTTTTCTTTGCGGCAGTAGACATGTTGCGATACGATTGTTCAGTCCAGGTTATGTCGATTAAAATGTAACTCGTCGCCACCAGACGCTCTATGTAACGTTTGAACAAATTTGTGCTTGTCTACTCGCACCAAAAGTAGTTTTGAGGTCGAAGCTCGATGTTTTCCAGCATTACAATGGTGATGGAGTAATGAACGCGTATATACGCTTTGCCCAGCACTTGTTCCTTGAATTCGGAAAGCGTCACAAACGTGACAACCGCTAAATAAAGTGAATTACGACACATCTTCGATTTCCTCGTTTTTGGCAATTGTACATACAACAAGACGGATTTTGTACTATACCCTGGCGATATCGCTTCAACTATTAAATATATTGTTGGCAACTGAAAAATACATGACAACAACATTATTGGGGCATTCCCTGGACGCAAATTCACGAAAGCAAAAGCTTTTACCAGACATCTACTTCGCGGAAAAAAAACTGACGGTTTTTTTTATACAATTTCTTCGGTATCTTATTCAAAATCAAATATCGGTTATAGGTTCCTGACTTTTTATCCGCTCTACATATACACATATAGATAGAGAGAACAGTTGTAAGTATTTGGCATGTTCGTGAAGATTTCAAGTACGAGTGTTACTTACGGTCGGATTATAAGTCACACACAAACAATATAGCAAGAGTTTAATTTTATTTCCTCAAAAATAGAAACCAAGCCAGAAGATTGACAAAATAATGGATTTTCGTGACCTCGCAAAGACAAAAATAACAAAACAATGATATTTTGGCAGCGTTTGTTGCCAAAAGCGCAACCATTGCAGAAAGTTTTTCCGCACTTTATCATATGGCAACATTCACAATGCCCGGCAGAGAAATTCAATCGAATACCTGGAATTTCCACGATGCCACGTACAAGAAAGCAAAAATGGGAACACACGTGAGTTCCATTTAAAATTTTCGCCATTCATTCGCCAAACAAATAAAACAAAATTTATATATATAATCAAGACACAAATACCTTCGGTATATTACTGAGTGGCGGCGATGCGAACTTTTTGGGTCATTGGAGTATGTTGCCACCCAACCCAATCAAATGGGGTATAAAATTTAAAACCGGCTCAGTACCATTTCCATCAACACGTCCACTCTTGTTCGTTCATCATATATATCATATCTTGTCTGGTTTCTTTTTTTTTTTAATTTGAGATAGTTGAAATTACTGTTTCGTGGTGAAAAGTGCTATTCTGAGTTATGCTATCTAATTCATTCACTTTCTGTATTTGTATTGCATACAATTATGTAGATCAAAGAAAGGTTCGGGACCAAATGGGTTAGCATGCAGATACATATTATTCAAAAAATTTGCAGTTCAGTATCGATACCGCAAAATATTTTGCAAAGTCATAAATCTTCTTCAAGTTGGGGCCATTCATTGTTAAATTGATGGTGGGTGAATATTTGTTTTTGTTATCACGGTGATAATTAAATATCATAGTGTAAGAATTTTTCTGGATTGGTCGGTAATTTGTAGGATTTCATCCTTTCTCAGGTATTTTGAAAATTACGTATAACTTGGCTGGAAAAGTTGAGTAAGTACATCAGAAGATATTGTGTTTTTTTTATATGTATCATCGGCGAAGAATTTTACAAAAACCGAGGTACAATTTGCCACGTCATTTCTTTACACTAGAAACGGGGTTCGGGCCGAAAACACGTTGAGGATCTGATGTTTTGGAAGAAAAGAACATAAATAACTTGACTTCGACCATCCCGATAGCAGAAATGGGTTCAAGTTTGCTGATGAATAATATTTTTGGCAGCCCACCAATCAAATATCTAAGACTTCAAAATAATATCTCTTGAGGTTATGTGCTTTGCGATACCATGAACAAGAGAGCTGTTACGCTTCCAAGTAGAATTTTGTCGACCCGGCCTTCAAATTCTTGTAAAGCCTGAGTGATCCGACTCGCAGAATCGAATTGACGTGTACTCTTCTGTTTAATTTAATAATTCTCTAGATAATACTATCGTGAAAATAAAAGTGATAGGATCAAATTCGATTATAACATAGCGGTGAGAGCGCATACGGTTTCACAAACCAAACTGCCGACCGTCACATACAAAGGCAGATGGATAGATGCGCGAACCAACCTAATATGTTCGGCTGTGACAAAACATTAAACTCGACAGTGATTGAGTTAGTGGCACTGAAAAGTGCCGTTTATGTGATTTAATGTGGCGATCCGACTTAAGAACTCTTCGACGTCTTTTTTGGCAAAAGCACGGCCTGGATGTTGGGTAACACACCACCTTGGGCGATTTTGACTCCGCCCAGTAGTTTGTTCAGTTCTTCGTCGTTCCTAATAGCCAATTGCAGATGGCGAGGAATGATCCTGCTTTTCTTGTTGTCACGGGCAGCATTGCCTGCCAACTCGAGAACTTCAGCGACCAAATATTCCAGAACTGCAGCGAGGTACACGGGTGCCCTTTCTCCAACACGCTGCGCGTAGTTTTCTTTTCGGAGCAGTCGGTGTACTCTGCCGACTGGAAATTGCAGACCAGCGCGGAACGAACGGGTCTTAGACTTCGCCTTCGATTTGCCGCCTTTACCTCTTTTTTTATTTTTTTATTACGGATCAGAATTTTTCCAATCTCGGATCAGTGTCAAAGGACACGGCCTATTCGAGTGATATCGATGTTGCGCTTCAAACTCATGCCACTGCATAAGCAGCAGTCATACACGGCTTTGGTATTTGCTGCGCCATAGTGCGGCACAGACTTCCACCCCGTGGTCCGGTATGTGCTGTATATAACAGCACAACGTTCTCCATGGGGTTTCCGTCTATGCCATGCACAACACAGCTCAACTACCACCGTTTGTTATTGATGTGGTACCCCACAGTTTATTATAATATGAAAAAATTGAGGTCATTATTTCTGATTCATCATTTACTATATCATTTCCTACTGTTTTATTTTTTGTGATGGACGATTTCTTTTCCCGTTGTGTTATCATGTCATAGAAGAACTTAGTAGGTCTTTTGTCTTTTTCGACTTCTTTTTGATTAGCTACAAATTTTTGCGTAGGCTCTTTTTTGTGTTCGATAAACAATAGGCGTTGTTTCTTAAGATCCAGGTCAATTGGATCTAGGGTGACTGATGCGTGTATGTTGTCTAGAACTTCTTTTTCTATGTGTTTTTGTTCCGCTATCACTCTTTTTTTTGTATGATGCCAAAAGCTATTGATTCTTTTTTAATTTGGTTCTTGACATGGTCCCACCATATATTTAGGTTGTCGTGATGTTTCAACTCGGCGAGTAGATATTCATATATATTTTGAATCATGTTTCTGTATGCAGAGTTTTTAAAATGTTCGTATTATTTCGCCAGGTGCCGGTGCCACATTTCGGTTTGTGGAATGGGCTCAACTCAATTTCTGGGAAATACGTATGATCTGAAACTATGTTGGTGTGATAATTACACGATTTTACTACAAGGTCTAGGTCGTTTGAGATGTATATCCTATCTATGCGGCGGGTTTGGAGGTTACGGTGAATTGTGAAAATTTTTCCAGTTGGGTGGTTCAAACGGTAGGGGTCTAGTAGTTGTGATTTTTCTATGTAGGTCCTTAATATTTTTTCCCCTTATTTCAGGCGTGATTGGGTTTTGTGGAGGGCGTCTAAATGGTCCGTTATTGCATTAAAGTCTCCTGCAACCACGAGACTGTCATGGTTCGGATATTCTTGGACTAATAGGGATGTCAGATTATTGTAAAAATTCGTTTGTTCCTCACTGCCTTTGTGGGGCGGTCCGTAGACATTCACAATCTTTAGTGTGTTATGCCGAAATTTTATTTCTAATACGGAGGCTCTGTATTTAATGAAGGATTTGTAGTTTTCTACCGATTCGGCCACACAGTTGATACAAGAGTGGCTGTTCCCGCTGCAAAAAAGCGTTCTCCAGTTTCGTTGTGGTCTATCGAGTCAATAAAGGGTTTATATCGCATTTGTGAGCACCATGAGTGGAATCTGGTTCTATGATATTTGTGTAACTCCTGTATCAGTATGATGTCTGGTTTATGTTTCTTTATTGTAAACTCCAGCTTACTGAGGTGTTTCATTATGCCACATTTATGGAAATTATTTTCATAGTGGTTTTATTACTGAAGGTCTGAGTAGTTTATCGTAGGGGAGACATATCTGTAGATTCTCGGGTCTAGCTTGGTTGCTTGAAAAGAAGAAGTAATTTCGAGCCGACACAGTAGCCAACGAACAAGTCAGTATTGGAAACGCAAACTCACTATTATTATCTGTTGGTATTAGCGCGAGTACAGACTCAAACTTGCCAAAAAACGTGGTGGCTCTAAAAAGAACCGCTGCCAGCCACACGATGCGTCACAGTTTCGAGGCAACGACTCATATCTTCGTCTTAACTAAAATTAGTTCAATAATATGGTGGCTCTGAAAAGAGCCGTTTGGTAATTAGTCGATGACGCCTAAGCACGTTCGCCTCTGATGCGTCGTGCCAGTTGAATGTTCTTGGGCATGATGGTGACACGCTTTGCGTGGATTGCGCAGAGGTTAGTGTCTTCGAAGAGACCGACCAAGTATACTTCGCTCGCCTCTTGCAGCGCCATTACGGAGCTGCTTTGGAAGGGCAAGTCCGTTTTGAAGTCCTGAGCAATTTCCCGAACCAATCTCTGGAAAGGAAGCTTATGTATGAGCAACTCGGTCGATTTCTGGTATCGGCGAATTTCTCTCAAAGCGACCGTGCCTGGCCTGTATCGATGAGGCTTCATGACGCCGCCGGTCGCAGGTGCGCTCTTCCTCGCAGCCTTTGTGGCAAGCTGCTTGTGGGGAGCCTTACCCCCGGTGCTCTTTTGTGCGGTCTGCTTGATTTTTTTTTATTTCGATAATGTATATACAGGCACAATTAAATCAAATATTCAACAAAAATGATATTGACCATCGTGCTCTACATTAGAGTGCAATTAGTCGGATAACCCTAGTGGGATAACACTACGGGTCTGCGCCTTGAATTTTAACACGTATTTATTGCTCAATGTTCAAGCATTTGGGGAGTGGATTGTGCCAGGTAAGTGGAAGCGTGGTCTGTATTTTCAACCACCATACGGTGTTTGAGAAGATGGGTGCCAGGTATGTTGGAGCGGGGTCCGCATTTCAACTACTATATAGTGTCCGGAAGGATGGGGCCAGGTAGGTTGTAGCGGGGTCGGTATTTTTTACTTAAGTGGTATCATTTAGTTGACCGATTGTATCGATGGCTGAGCATATCGGGTCAGGTAAGTTGGATTTACCTAACAAAAGTAATATAGCACAATTTTTACATCTACATACACAACAACAAAAAAATAACACTAAAAAATTTTACACATAACATGCCTAAGAAAAGTAATATATCATAAATATATACATCTATACACGCAAAAAAAAGTTAACCCTATCTATCTTAAAACATAACATGCTTGGCGGGGTGCTTCAATCAGAACTTTATGGGTTTCTATACATGTGCATGCATTACAAGCGCATGCATCACAATTTTGGAATAAAGGTAAGAAATAGGGCGGGGATAGTTCAGTTAAAGTCGGCTTAGGTTGCGTCTACGTGGGCTATTTCCGTAATAGGATGGGGCAACGTTTAAGGGATACATAGCTGGTTTCGTATATGCTTGTTGGGGATCTCTATATTTAGTTACTTAGCATACTTAATATAGTACACTGTTGGGGATCTCCATATTTAGCTACCCAGTATACTTAATATAGTGAACTAGGATCTCTATATTTAGTTATTCAGCATACTTAATATAGTACATTGTTGGGGATCTCCATATTTAGCTACTCCGCATACTTAATATAGTACACTGTTGGGATCTCCATATTTAGCTACTCAGTATACTTAATATAGTGAACTATCATACGGGTGTTGGAGAGAGAGGATTGTGCCAGGTAAGTATAACCAAGGAGGATAATTTATAGCGTATAGTATATTACGATATTAGTAAGTTATTAGGGACACTATTTCACTTATGGTGTATAAGATTCATACTATACGGCGTTGGGGAGAGAAGATGGTGCCAGGTAAGTATAACCAAGGAGGATAATTTAAAGCGTATAGTATATTACGACGATATTAGGAACACTATTTCACTTATGGTGTATAAGATGCATATTTAGTATATATAACGGGAATCATTCATAACTTACTGTTTTGTTACAATATTAGCAACTGTATTCGTATAGGTGGCTTATCGGGCATTCGTATCATAATCCTACAGACACATGGGCCTTTATACTATCATGTGATTCTCATAATAGTATTAGGGTAGGTTCCATTATATACTATCCATAATGTCCTAAACTATCATTTGTGGTGGTTAAGCATATTGGGCCAGGTAGGTTGGATTTACCATAAGCAAAAGTAATATAGCACAATTGTCTACATCTATCCATACCGAAGAAATTTACACTAGATACATTAAAACAAAACATACTTAATAAAGGCAAAATATCACAATTATATACATCTATATACACAAAGGAAGATAACACTAAGTATATTTAACATGACATGTTTGATGGATAAAGTGTGGGGTGCTTCAGTCCGAACTGCATGGGGTTCTATATATGTGCATGTATTATAATCGCCAACATTTGGAATAAGGCAATTAGATAGGGATATTTCAGTTTAATACAACGTAAATCTCGTCTATGTGGGTTATTTCCTAAATAGGGTTGTGCGGCGTTTAAGTGATTTAAAAGGAATCATGATTAGAAATACGTAAATTAAAGTCGAAATACATAGTTACAATTGGGTTTTGACATGAGCAGTGGCTTTTGCAATTTCTACTGCTGTCTGAATGTTGTTGATTAACCGCAAATGCGTAAGGTTAACTTAAATTTTATAGTTACGAATAGGCGAATAAAGTTACTATTTAGGGATGAATTCGTTATTTCAAGTAAAATTTATAAAAAGACTAAAAATTGCTTATTCCGAAATTCTCCAAATTCACAAATTGGATCGATAAAGGGCCCATTGTAATTATACAACAGATGCCAACCAAAAATATAATTGGATCGATGACACCAGATGCTAATTAGTATTCCAACCCGAATCGATAACCCTAATGGAATCGATATCACCATACGCGCATACGTATAAACAAGGTTTCAATTAGATATTTAGGAGAGGTATTAAAAGGGGTTATATTAGGAGTCAAGTCGTCTGAATCGGTGTCGTGTCGTCATGTCTTCATCGTTTGTGCTCCGTGTATATCTACAATATTAAACTACATCAACAACGTTCAACAACATGTTCTTATATGCTACAATCTCTTAACTGGTTAAAATGGTGATCCCGAACAAAGAATAGCAAACCTGCAGATGTGGAGTCGAAATCGATAAAGGTGACCCAACAAAACAACAACAACGGAAAAAATGGTACAGCAATAAAGGTATCACCGCACGAGAGAACAAAGGTACGGAATCGGAAAAGAATCAGACGACGAAGGATACGAAGACGAAGGAAAAAGATCAAGTCCGCACAATGAACGATATGAACTTTTGTTCGAAATCAAAAATACAAGGTGAAAAATTGTATCAAGCTAAATTTAACTGATGATATAATACAACGAACGATAAGTTTTATAAAAGTACGAAGGAAGCGCACGCTTTTAGATATTCATAAAGATCACAGCAAAAAATGATCGAGCAAGACAATCAATGAAATATGAAATTTTTCTTCATCAATTTGTTTTACTTTGTTATATATACATAAGATTTTTCTCCTAACTGGGACATTTATCGTACTACTTCATTTCTCAATGTATAGTCCTTCTTTAACTTATTTGGCGATATTAATTAGGTATCTCAATTTCTATAAATTGCTTGAAAACAGACTTTGGGTGTTTACTCAAATTGCAACTAATCTTATGGCCAATTGATTATGCAATAGAGGTGAATATTCAATTTCAAAATTCTTGTGACTTATAATAATTAAACATTGACGGATGCAAACTATTTCGATTAGATAGATTTCATCAACACTGAACTATTTTGAAAAAAGATGATTCAAACGAGTCACTCTTTTAAGCGTTTATAACATTGTCATAAGAACGGTGCATAAATGAGCTCATCAATATATTCGTTAAACACGAGTATATGACAATTTTTTAACAAAAAAGCGCTATTTTTTTTTATTCTTTTCAAAGCCCGAAGCTGGCATTATCAACATATCGCAACAAGCGAACTTACAAAGCGCTATTTATTCAAACACATGAGCTATCAGTAATTCAGTGTGACGAGTATATTGGATTGAAAGATCAGTTTTATCTGTCGAAATCAAATTTAAAAAACAATAAATCGCCTTTTCTTTTCTAATCTACACTCTACTCTCATCCTACTTCCCTCTCATTATTAAATCTTCTCGTCCCATATTTTTGAATTTTATTATGTATATTTTTCGATTGTGTTTTTTTTGTCATTTTCAATGTGTTTTTGAAATTTACGTATGTTAGGTGACAAATATGCCCCAAACCCCGATTTCCAATCTAAAGGGCGTAGATATATTTAGGGATGAATTCGTTATTTCAAGTAAAATTTATAAAAAGACTAAAAATTGCTTATTTAGAAATTCTCGAAATTCATAAATTAGATCGATAAAGGGCCCGTTGTAATTATACAACAGATGCCAACCAAAAATATAATTGGATCGATGACACCAGATGCTACTTAGTATTCCAACCCGAATCGATAACCCTAATGGAATCGATATCACCATACGCACATACGTATAAATAAGGTTTCATTTAGATATTTAGGAGAGGTATTAAAAGGTCTTATATTAGGATATAAAAGGTCTTATGTGGAGTCGAAATCGCTAAAGGTGACCCAACAAAACAACAACAACGGTAAAGATGGTACAGCAATAAAGGTATCACCGCACGAGAGAACAAAGGTACGAAATCGGAAAAGAATCAGACGACGAAGGATACGAAGACGAAGGATAAAGACCAAGTCCACGCAATGAACTTTTGTTTAAATTCAAAAATACAAGGTGAAAAATTGTATCAGGCTAAATTAAACTGATGGTATAATACAACAAACGATAACTTTTAAAAAAGTACGAAGGAAGCGCACGCTTGTAGATATTTTTAAAGATCACAGCAAAAAATGATCGAGCAAGACAATAGAATGAAAATATTATTCAACAATTTGTTTTACTTTCTTATATATACATACGATTTTTTCTTACTGTGACATTTATCGTACTACTTCTTTCATCAATGTATAGTCTATCTTTAACTTCTTTGGCGATATTAATTAGGTATCTCAATTTCTATAAATTGCTTGAAAACAGACTTTGAGTGTTTACTCAAATTGCAACTAATCTTATGACCAATTGATTACGCAATGAAGGTGAATATTCGATTTCAAAATTCTTGTGATTTATAATAATTAAACATTGACGGATGCAAACTATTTCGATAAGATAGATTTCATCAACACTGAACTATTTTGAAAAAAGATGATTCAAACGAGTCACTCTTTTAAACGTTTATAACATCGTTATAAGAACGGTGCATAAATGAGCTCATCAATATATTCGTCAAAACGAGTATATGACAAATTTTTTTAACAAACAAAGCGCTATTTACTTTTTTTTCAAAGCCCGAAGCTGGCACTATCAACATATCGCAACAAGCGAACTTACAAAGCGCTATTTATTCAAACACATGAGCTATCAGTAATTCAGTGTGACGAAGTATATTGAATTGAAATATCAGTTTTATCTGTCGAAATCAAATTTAAAAAACAATAAATTGCCTTTTCTTTTCTAATCTATACTCTTACTGTCATCCTACTTCCCTCTCATTATTAAATCTTTTCGTCCCATATTTTTTGAATTTCATTATGTATATTTTTCGATTGTGTGTTTTTGTCATATTCAATGTGTTTTTGAAATTTACGTATGTTAGGTGACAAATACGCCCAAAACCCCGATTTCCAATCTAAAGGGTGTAGATATATTTAGGGATAAATTCGTTATTTCAAGTAAAATTTATAAAAAGACTAAAAAAATTGCTTATTCCGAAATTTTCCAAATTCATAAATTTGATCGATAAAGGGCCCGTTGTAATTATACAACAGATGCCAACCAAAAATATAATTGGATCGATGACACCAGATGCTAATTAGTATTCCAACCCGAATCGATAACCCTAATGGAATCGATATCACCATACGCGCATACGTATAAATAAGGTTTCAATTAGATATTTAGGAGAGGTATTAAAAGGTCTTATATTAGGAGTCAAGTCGTCTGGATCGTTGTCGTGTCGTCATGTCTTCATCGTTTGTGCTCCGTGTATATCTACAATATTAAACTACATCAACAACGTTCAACAACATGTTCCTATATGCTACATGTTTTTAATTGGCTAAAACTACAGGGATTTCGAGTTATTCCCACATCATTTTGATATTTTTCAACCATATTGTTGGCTATTTGTTCTAGAGTTAAGAGCTCTTTGTTGTGCTCAGATCTTTTTGCATAATTCATCAGTTTGATTTTGTAGTTTATTCCAGCAGTTATTTTTGCTAATATTGTTTTAATTGACGGCGGTTGTTTCGTTTGGATTATTTTATTTCTTTCAGTCCAGATGCTCCTTTTAATAGCTGTTGTGAGGTAGATTAAAGTTGTTTTGGCCGAAATGTTTGTCTCTATCTTATCGTGAAATTTTAAGTGTATCATCACTGCCTCTGTCGGCTTTACCCGGCCTTGACTAAATTCTCTTGCCCCGATATTAAGGGCTTCAGACGATACTTTACACGTGATTTTGCATTTCGTGAATAGGTGCATTTATGTTTCAATCTCAGTTTTACAAAATGTACATCTCTTTGATTTGCTGGTGAAGTATATCCTTGGTTTATTGTTGGATGGTAAGATCTTGTGGGCAATCTTCCAATTTAGGGTTTTGTCGTTTTCATCTAATATATTGCTGTGTATATTAATCCAATTGTGATTGGCGAAATATGTTGTTTTCCATTTGTTTCTGTTGTCAACTATTCTTTGATATATTTTCTTATTTGAGCAGGTCTGTATTTCTTGTTTTGTCATATTGTTTTCCTTTATAATTTGCACTACTATTGCCCATTGTTGTTCCGGATTCCATGTATGTGGTCGATTTAATGTTAGCTTTAAATCGGCGAATTTTTTCAGTTGGTATCCCAATTGGTAATTTATCGTTTTGTTGATCGGGTGACATTGATGGTCTTCTGGATTTCTGCAGTATTTCAGTTCTGGTGCTATGTACATGATATCAACGAATGTTGGAATATCTATTACATTATAGCCACCATTGTTCTTTTGTCGCACTAGGAGTTCGTAGTCAATATTTTCTTTGCCTTCGAAGCAGAATTTCATTATTTCCTTCTTTATTTCCGACTTTACCGTTTTTGTCATATGTCGGGGAGTGCTTTTGTACAAGAATATTGGCAGCATTTTACTGTTTACTATCATTCTTTTTTGTTCCATTGTTAGGCGTCGAGGTTGATATTTCAAGGTGGTTTGCCGCAGTATTTTTATTTCGTTTATCCAATGGTCTTTCGCGTTAATACATCCATGCTGGTGGCCAAGTATGTTTATGGATTGTTTCCATATAATTTCGGGGATTTTTTTCATCTTTCCAAATTGTATGCCTTGAGTTTTTTGAGGGTTTATTTGTAGACCTGATATCTTTCTAAAATCTTCGATTGTCTGGATCGCTTTGTATATAGAGTATTCCGTATTTACTGTGGGCGTCAGATCGTCAGCATAAGATGGTGTTTTGAATTCTTGCGCTGTCGCTTTGAGCTTTATTGGTACTATCTCCGTGTCTTTTGTTATTTGCAGCAGTAGCGGGTCAATCGCAATTGTAAATAGTACCATCGATAGATTGTCTCCTTGTCTGACGCCTCTTTCTAAAGAAAAATCATGTGTTGGATTTCCATTAACAAGGATTGCTGCGTTTGCTGATTTATATATCCTTTTTATATACGATATAAACTTATTATCAAAACATTTAGCTGTCAATTAGGTATACGTGATCTATTGAGTCGGAGGGCTTTTTAAAATTAATTGATATGATTGCTCCCTTCTTGGATCTTTTCATCTGGTTTGTAATCTCTCTCAGAATCAGTTTGAGATCCGATATTTTATTTGGCGGGTTAAGGAATTGATGTCGATGGGTTATTTTTGGAAGTATTAATTTGATTCTATTTGCCAATACTTTGTTCAAGATTTGAAGTCCACGTTTAATAAGGTGATTGGTCTGTAATTGTCTATGTTTCTTTGGGTCCTTTTTTATGTATTATATTAATTATTCTTTTCGATAAGATTTGGGGTATTCTGGGCGTGGTAAATAGTTCGTTTACTATAATCCTGAGTTCAAACTTAATAGTGTTCCAAAATATTTGATAGAATTCAATGCCGATGCAATCTATGCCGGGAGTCTTATTTCTCTTCATATCAAAGACTGCCTTTCGGAGCTCATCTTCTGTTATGATGTTGCTCACTTCACAGGCGTCCCATGATGGGCAAGACGCAAACTTCTGTAGAAAATTTTGCATATCATTTTGGTGGACCGAGCCATCTTTTGAGAATAATTTTTTATAATATTGGTATACAATTTCTTGTTTTTCGGATTCCTTTTCTCTAATTTGGCCTTGTCTATCTAGTAATTTTTCGATTCTTGATTTTACACTTCCTTCCCGAATTCCTTGCAAAAAATATTTTGAGTTACCTTTATTTATTTCGAATTCTTCAAGTCTTGATTCCATTTTTATGATTTCCAGACTTGTTTGGTTACTTTTCAATATTCTTTTCTTTATACGCAGATATAATTGAAAAATTTTCTCAACTTTTGTAATCCGTTTCCTAATTACCTTAATTGGTGCCTCAGGTCTTTTTCCTTGCTTTTTCTTTTCTACGTTTTTCCTTTGCGTGTTCCGTTAGGGTGTTTTTTATTTTGGATTTTATTAGGATCCACCATTCTAAGTAAGTGGTTGCGTACAGTCCTTTTAGAGTAATCCGTTTAATCCATTTTTGTTTGAAACAGGTCGAAAATTCCATGTTATTGTATATTGATGAGTTATTTTTCCATGTGCCGCGGCCAATTAAATCAGATTTGTTAAGTTTTATTTCCGTTTGAACAGCCTCGTGGTCGGTCATCAGGCAGGGTATTTGAGTTACTTTAGTTACTGGTATGTCTAGTGATACATAAATTCGGTCTAATCGTGAGCCTCCGTTAAGATAAATATGGGTATAGTCTCTTTTGGTTGGGAATAATTTTCGAAAGGAATCGGTTAAATTAAACTTTTTTGTGGCAGAAATTAGGGCTTCAGCTACTGGTTTACTCGGGTTGTATTGTTGTACGGGTGTCCTGTCTAAATTTGGATTTTGGATAAATTGCTTGCGTACTTTCTACCACGGCCTTGTAGCTCAGCTGTACTTCATGTCGACTCCCTTTCTCTTTTTAGGTCGTTTATATTGTCTTCTGTGACATTAATTTCAATTGAATCTTCGTAACTACTTCTTTCCTGGCCGCTCGTTGTAGTTCCGGTTTGTTTTGGTTTTGTTTTGTTTATGTCTAGCCTAGTTTCTTGATTGTGTGAACTGTCGTTCAGATTAGTGTTGTTTTGGTTATTCTCGGGTGTTGTCTGGCGGCCTAATGTTGCTTCCTTATAAGGCGTTGTTGCCGTTTCAAGGTTGGTTGCGTTTGACTCTGTGTCTTTGGGCGTTTTCGCAATTTGGCCCGCAATTGGCCCGCCTCACCGCAATGGAAGCATGTATGTGTAATTCCATGATGTTTTACATATATTGTGCAGTTTTGAATTCTGATATAACTTTTGGTGGGGTTTTGTTGCATATCCTTTTTATTTATTATTACTCTCCTGGTTCCGGTTTTAATCCCATCATCAAGTATGTAGTTCACCGATGTAACGATCCCATGATTTCTTTCAAAATATTCTTGAATAACTTCATTTTTCATTTTAACTGGAACGTAATTTAAGTATACCGGTATTTTATCTGAGACATAGAGCCTATGCGCGGGCAATCTCTTGCCTTTGCTTTTTAATTCCCAAATTTTTCGGTCAGTTTGAATTGCTTTGAGCCTATTAATACAGCTGATATCAACTGCTCCATTCGGGTAGATGACATAGCAATCTAAGTCTTCCCTTGTCACTGTAATTTCCTGAAGAAAATTTTTTAATTCCTCTTTGGTTATAACGCTTTGAAATTTAAAGCTTATGTCGCAGCTTCTGTCTGGTCCATCGTTGCTATTTTGGACAACTACATTTGAGTAGGATCTCTGACGGGTGGCTGGAATGTCTGCCTTGGCTTCCATTTTTTCCTTACACGGGGTGGCGACAAACTCAATCAGGAAAGTCACTAAAACTGAGTGCTCTTTCGTGCGGTCTGCTTAGTTCTGGCCATTTTTGATAGATACTCTCGTGTAGCTGATTTCGAGCTCGAGCCTCAAGCGACTATATGTACCGACCGGGTAACGTCTTCTAATTGGCTAGACAACTTTTGCGCGCCATTTTTTCTCTCCTTTTCGACGACGGCCGCCCCGCGAGAGGTTATAGCTCGATAGCGCGTTTGGCAATTATCATTGTCAAAAAACGCAAACTCGTAAACAATGTCTGGACGAGGTAAAGGAGGCAAAGGTTTAAATAACATTTAGACCAGTTGCTCTCACAGTCTGAGCCCTCTAGCGTTTGGCGGTTAGCAATAATGACGTCATATTCGAGTATCACGAAAGCGCAATTAGATTCGCAAGAGCCACACCCAACCATCGATAGAAGTTGCGATATTAACTTTAAGTTTAGAAGCCAGATTACAAAAGATGAATTAAAAGAATTCTTAAAAATATTGGATTTAACAAAAGAATATCTGGATGGATACGTACTATACCCTACAAGATCAGTAGACTTCAGTTTGACCAACAGACTGAGAGCAATACAATTAGACCCATCGATAGAAGTTGCGATATTAACTTTAAATTTAGAAGCCAGATTACAAAAGATGAATTAAAAGAATTCTTAAAAATATTTGATTTAACAAAAGAAGATCTGGATGGATACGTACTATACCCTACAGGATCAGTAGACCTCAGTTTGACCAACAGACTGAAAGCAATACAATTAGACCGAAAGGTCTGGGATATGAAGGAGCGTGGTTTGAAACTCCCGATACACCAAATGTACATATCGGATAAGATCCCCGTATCCTTAATTTTGTTCCAATCAAGATGGAAAATCGAGCCATAAAAGAATATTTTGAAAAACACCATGGTGAAGTCCATCAAGTGGCACATGTATTTGACGACGGTTTTAAAACCGGGCCCAGGAGGCTAATTCTGAATCGTGAGGACTTGATAACTAAAAACCCGGTAAAGAGCTATATTCGAATCCACGGATGTACCCTGTACGTAAAACATCATGGTATAATTCCGACTTGTTTCCACTGCAACAACCCGGGACACACCAGATCATCATGACCATTACGGGCTAGCCAGAACAAAGATAAACAAACAGGACCGAAACCACAACAAAAAACCCTAAACGAGCCAATTAATCAAAGTAAAGTCGGAGTAATCAGCGAAACTACTCAACCGAAAAAACAGCAAACCCGAAATGAAAACATGAAAGCAAACGATCAAAATTTGGAGAACGAAGACATGTTTGAACAGAGCTTAAACGGACGATGGAACTACAAAGACATCTGGTAGCTGGGCAGATGAAACCGACTCGCAACAAGACTTGCTTGACTCGGTCAAGGCCAATAATAAAAGATCGCGGACCTCTACCAGCAGCAGCAATGTATCAATACAACAACCGCGAAAGTTTGCAAGTGTAACGGACCCAATAGCTGTCATTGAATGCACAAAGTGCACTAGAGCAATGAATATATTAGGCTACCAAAAAGATACCTACTGCGTTAAATGTAACATTGAGTATAATATATTCTGCACGTGTTTTACAGATGATGAATTGGTACTTTTGGAAAATAATCAATTTAACTTTTGGGAACCGGCTACATGTGGCAAATGCGACAAAAAGTCAATCCCAACCAAATGCTGCAACTCTCTGATCTCCTGCTCGGAGTATGAGAGTTCCAAGCCACCAGCCCACGATGCAAAGCCCTCTTACCTAAAACCTAATAATGGCGCATCAAATCAAAATAACTAGCCTAAACGTAAATGGACTTAAAACAAAGACCGGAGAGATAACATATTTAAATATTTATTGGATAACCATTATGACATGATGTTTTTACAAGAAACGCACACGACAATGAAAGAAGAAATAGCATACCAAAAAGAATGGCCAGGAAGCACGATCTGGAACTCACACACTTCAAATTCTGCAGGAACAGCCACACTATTTAAAAGCAAAAACGTAACAATATCGGATATCAATATGAACAACAACGGACGACAAATTGCAGCCAGAATTCGAATCAACAAGAAAAGCCTTAATCTCCTCAACATCTATGGACCCGGCAACACGAAACAAAGTTAAGATTTCATATTTTTTTACCAACTAAACACTAAAGTATAAAGCGACGACCCTATTTTACTAGGAGGGGACTTTAATAACGTGAAAAATCCAACTTTGGATAAAATTCCAGTCTCGGTAATGGAACCGCCACTTAGAACAGACATTACCTCGCTACAATCTACGATCAAAAACTTAATATTAGTTGATTACTTCCGAAACAAATACCCGCAGAGAAAGGAGTACACCTTTCTACACCCATTAGGCGCTTCCCGAATCGATAGATTCTATATAAGTAAGACATCAAACGCTATGCAATTTCTCATGAAACTTGCCAATTCACCGACCACGAAATAGTCATTTTGCAAATACCATTCGACTCGATCATCCCTAAATCTAATAGTTACTGAAAAAACAATACAAAATTTTACTCAGAACTAGGCTTCATTCAAATACTAGCAAATAAATGGCCAAAATGGATAACCATGAAAAACCTATACGATCAGAATATGGTCGAATGGTGGTGTCTTATAAAATCAAAACTAAAAGCCATCTTAATCGAATATGCCAGGAAAAAACGGAAACAAAGGCTACAGAAGGAAAAAACCATAACAAACGATATAAAGATTACAAAATGAGGAAATGCCTACAGACACTATCAAAAAAAGAAGAAAGAATTACTGGACTTGTACTACAACAAAATGGACCCTATTCGAATGCAATCAAAACTACAGGAAATGGATACATCAAAAGGTAATGTAAATCTTTTTCTGAGAACAATAAGAAATCGAAAATTAAATTCGGCCATTTCACAACTATATGATAATATGGGAAATATAGCAAACTCAGTATCGGAGAAACAAAAAATAGCTTTGAATTACCACCACCACCTATTTCAAAAAGACTGGGCAATAGATATTTCAAGATACTTCAATTTTATTAAAACATATGCCCAACACGACCCATGGGACTCGAATATGATAGACTCTGACATAACTGAATATGAACTAAAAAGTGCCGTCTTTCAATTTTCAAAGATGAATCCCCCTGGACTGGACGGTATTAGTGTTGAATTTTACCAGATGAACTGAAATCTCATAAAAATAGAACTATTGGAATATGTAAACGAACTATATAAATCGTCCTCAATTCATGAAGATGTGACTAAAGGGGTTATAAATCTAATCTTCAAAAAGGGCCAAAGAGAAAACCTTGACAATTATAGGCCAATCAGCCTATTAAATGTTGATTTAAAAATCCTGAATAAAATTTTGGCTGACAAAATAAAAAGGATATTACCACTAATAACGAACCCCCACCAATTCCTTAATCCACCGAACAAAATAAATGACCCTAATTTGATCCTAAGAGAAATCGCAAAAAATATGGAAAATTCACGATTCGGCGCTATAATTTCAATAGATTTTAAAAAAGCTTTTGATTCGATAGACTATAATTATTTACTCAAGATCCCTGAGAGCAAGGGTTTTTGGCCAATTTTCACTTCTTATATAGAAAAGATTTATGAAGCCGCAAAATCAGTCATACTAATAAATGGCCACCGTACGGACTTTTCTCAACTAGAAAAAGGGGTACAACAAGGGGGCACATTATCGATGGTCCTATTTACTATATCAATCGGCCCACTGTTAACCCAAATACAAAAAAGCCCAGAGATAAAACCATTTACTCCAAAGGCTACAAACCAACAATATAAGATTCCAGCCTACGCAGATGACGTCACACTCACAATTAACGGACAATCAACATCCGCCGCAATCAACATAATTGAGAGCTTTGCACAAATATCGGGACTCCACATAAACAAAGACAAAACACAAGGCTTAAATTTCGGTATCTCAAGACAAACTCGGATCTTAATTAGGCCAACAGCATCAACATCCTAGGCCACTAATATGGAAGTAACAAACCAAAACAACATTGTAAAGGGGAGATAGAAAGAACAAACATCATTACAAATCAACCAGAGCTTCGAAACATATCGATGGAAAAGAAGAGAGCTATTATTAACACCAAAATACTGCCAAGATTCATATACAAGGCGCAGCACATCATCATGCCCAAAACCATTAGAGCAAAAATAAGGAGAAACATCACTAACTTCTTCTTTAACAAAAAGGAAAAGATTGATTATCAATTATTAGTGCGACCTAAGAACCAAGGAGGGTATGACGTAAAGGATATACCACTGATTGTTGACATGAGCTACATTGAGCCCATACTAAATTACTGTAGCAATCCTGAGGATAATCCCATCAACCGAACGATATCATACCAACTCGGATTTCAGCTCAGAAACCTGGCAAATGAAACAATTAAGCTAAACAGGCCGCACACCTGGAAACCAGACATTCATTGGGAACAGGGACTCAAGATAATTAAAGATTTGGAAATTACAAAAGAAGAAATTCATCAGATGTCAAATAAGGAAATTTACGACAAAATAATACTCAGACGAAATATCTGGAAAATCACGTATCTCGCCAACCACGAATTCGTAAATATACATAAGGACTTCATCGACGACAAGGACAAAACTCTGAAAAATGAGCCCATAAAACATTAGCTACCAACAACAAGCCGAGGATATATAACACCATTGGAAGCATGCTGTGCAACTTCTGCAAAGCCGAAGACGAATCTGAAGAACTCCTCAACAACCAGATTCACAAAAGCCACACTAAACGCTTGGTCAACGTTGACAAAACAACCAAATCTACAGCTTACACAAGAACTCATTATATGCTTAAAATTGCCACAACAAATCGAAGCCGAAGAAGAATTAAAAAACATGTGGATCTTATTGACTACGGCAATTAAAAATGCAATCTGGTTCGTGAGAAATAAAAATCAAAGAACGAGATCTAAACCTAAAATCAGTGCAATAATACTTACACTGAAAAAAGGCATATCAAATAAGATCCATATAGAATTACATATGAAACGAACCGAACTGTTAAATGGACTGTACGTGCTACAGAAAATAGCACTTAACTTAGAAGAACTATATCTAAAAAACACGGGCGTCTCCTAAATTATGTGCATCGATTTTAGCCTCGTTGAAACTTAACAGGCTTAAAACTACGTTATTTTATAACACGGAAATACTGCCTCATTTTACTATTTCCTTGATAGCATACCAAGAGGCCGCTGCTAAAATAAAGGATGCACATCCATTACGCTCTATGCATACCTCTTTCATCGGTATCGGCAACCAACTATATATACCTATACTTCTTAAAAGCGCAAGTACAGTACTATAGATCTCAACTCGACCAAGGTAAAAAAATGTTTAATGAATTCAAGCAGGCTAAAAAGTTATTAATGATACATCAAAAAACCACATTACACCATTTGAAAGCACGGTCAAAAACTAATAATTTCCCAGCTGGTAGTCAGGATTTACAATTCCTTTTTCTAAAATTAAACAAAGACACGTGAGAACGGAAATAGGCCCATTACTAAATTCCGAGGGAGTGCTGAAAACTAAATTTTTTTTTAATAGTGGGTCTCAGCCCACCGATACTTACCTTATTTATACTTACGTGTTGTAGTGGAGGGTTGTAGATTCACCCTAGGTAAGAGTGACTGTAGTCTAGTAGCTGTGGACCCACATATATATGCCAACTAACAGCGTACTAAAATCAAATAGGGGATTGCATTCATTCATCTATTTTATTGTCGGTCACAGAAGTAGTTCACAATATGTACTCCAGCATTTATTTCATATATCCATAGATTACTGCTATATGACCCAAATTTTTAAACACAGTCTGTAAACCATCGTCGCAAAATGAGCTTGTCCACTCTGGGCGGCTAGCGGCAGTGACTGATACGGTTGTGAGATCATACAGTGGTATTTGTTCAACGACGACCGTGCGTTAGATTTCGAGAGAACTTGCGTGACCGTGCGTGAAGTTTTACGAGATGTTTCGTGAATCGCACTTAACGAGATTTCGTAACTGCGTTTTTGAGAGACAGGGTTACGTGCTCGTAAACGAGGCTCTTTACGAAGTTTGGCGAATGGGGCCCCTTGATCGTAACAATTAACGTTAATGGAATACAAAATTTTGAAAAACGAAAAGCACAGTTTGAATATTTTAAGGAACAGGAATGGGAAATCATATTCATACAGGAAACTCATAGCACCAACAGAGAGGAAATCAAATGGACACAGGTATGGGACGCTGGGAAATCATTTTGGAACTCTAACAATAGCAAGTCGGCTGGAGTCGGGATATTGACAAACGAAAACAAGATAAGTACCACTATATTAAAACAAGACTTGGATAATAAAGGGAGAATTCTTTCGGTAACAGTCAAAATTAACGGAGTAAAAATCCAATTGATTAATTTATATGCGTATGCAGACATTTCTGGTATAGATCCATATCAAAGAATTAGCTTTTTTGGGGGTGCCTGCAAAGACCTATGCTCAACCGAAAACATAATATTTGGCGGCGATTTTAATGTGAGAAATGGAAAACGCTAAAGGAATTCAAGCAGGACAATATGCAGCAATGGTGGAAATGTAAAAGACCTGATAAAAGGATTGATAATCTCCTTCGGAGCGAGAGATAAGAAAAATAAAAAGAAAGAAAAAGAACGACTGAAAACGCAAGTACAGTACTATAGATGTCAACTCAACCAAGGTAAAAAATGTTTAATGAATTCAAGCAGGCTAAAAAGTTATTAATGATACATCAAAGAACCAAATTACACCATTTGAAAGCACGGTCAAAAACTAATAATTTCCCAGCTGGTAGTCAAGATTTACAAATCCTTTCTTCTAAAATTAAACAAAGACACGTGAGAACGGAAATAGGCCCATTACTAAATTCGGAGGGAGTGCTGAAAACTAAATTTTTTTTTTTATAGTGGGCCTCAACCCACCGATACTTACCCTATTTGTACTTACGTGTTGTAGGGGAGGCTTGTAGATGTTCTTTCTTTTTTTCTGACAAATAAAATATAGAGTTAACAGGACGCCTGACCTTGACGAAACATTCCCGACACATATGAGGGTTTGGAGAAATGCACCCTGATGCACACTCATTGAGCCCTCCAGTGGCGAGTATTTCGTTTTGGCCAGGCAAATTGGAAAAGGGAGAGAAAGAGTCAGAATGACGGAGTAAAGAGATTAGACAGAAAACAAAGGGGAGGAAAGGACTATAAAAGTGAGGAGAAGAAGAAAATAAAAATGAGAAAATTGAATGTATCTTTATTGCTGACACGTTTGCATCATTTCGTTTGTCAACGTCGCAAACTTCTCATTTCATTACTCGCATTTGATGTGTTTCTTTATTATCTGTAGACCGAGCCGAGAAGGTTTCTGTCTACTGCAATTTGCGTGTTTACATCGTTATTGTATCGTCTCGCGTTAGGGCCGAAATTTTAAATGTGCACAGCTAGTTTTCTGTTGCAATGCGTTACTTTCTATGGCGATTCAGCATTTGGGAAAAGCGGTATCATAATAATTATAGTGGGCTAATTATGATTTCCTTTGTTTCATGCTTATTTAACTTGCTAATAGTTCAAAATTTGCTGCATTGAATTCTACTGGATTATTGAACTGCAATTTGTGAATCTGTCCTGCGTTTTGATTGTTTTGTGAAATATTCTCGGTGAGTTTTCTGTATTTCATTGCATTAGGCTTGTTATGTAGTAGTCTTATTTGGATGAAATACTGTTGGTATTATACTTATTGCAACAATTAATGCTGTAGGGTTAATGTTACTGTAGTGCTTATTTGTTCATGTTTATTTCAGTGTTCTGCATTTACATAAAAGATTCGATATATTGTTGAACTTGGTTAAAAACAGTCGGTAAGCGATATAATTTGATTGCATGTTGGTTAATTATGCGGCAAATTCATAGTATTTATAGTGTATTTTGTTTTCTTTATAAAACCTCTCTATCTCATCTCTATCTGTATTCGTCATCTGTTTCCGTAATCTATTTGGCTCCATCTGACATCTCGATTATATATTTTGTGCTGAGCAAGTGCTTGATAATTTCACGGCACATTACAATTCTTCTTCTGAACTTAGCTTGCTTATCTCAGTTATAAGACGGGATAATTTGGAGAGGATTGTCTGGACCGAACATAGACAAATATTGCTGTATTGGGATAGACTGAGCGTTTAGACTGGTAAATTTGGCGCACGGTTCAGCGCCCTTCTTCTTTGTGTAGCATGTAGGGTGCATAAGGTCCCACCCCGTTAAGCTTCTACATAAAAAGTTTTCGACTTTTGCCTTTTTGCTGGATGCAAAAAGTTTTCGACTTTCTCAATGACTGGGCTTTCTTGCTAAAAGTTTTCATCTGGTGCCTTTTTGCTGAGTGCAAAAAGTTTTCGACTGAAGTTTTCGACTAGTGCATTTTTGCTCAGTGCAAAAATTTTTCGACTTTTGCCTTTTTGCTAAATGCAAAAAGTTTTCGACTGCTGCAAGTTTTCGACTGCTTCAAGTCTTCATTGTGTCTTGCTGCGAGTTATAGACTGTGTCTTGCCACAAGTTTTCGAAAAGCACAAGATACTGTTTAAGGTTGCAAAACTTTCAGTGTTCAAGCCATAATGGTTTTCGACTGCTTCAAGTCTTCATTGTGTCTTGCTGCGAGTTATAGACTGTGTCTTGCCACAAGTTTTCGAAAAGCACAAGATACTGTTTAAGGTTGCAAAACTTTCAGTGTTCAAGCCATAATGGAATCCAAGGCAAAGCAGCAGTTGACATCTTGCGATCTGCTTTGCAGGAAAAGTATTTGATAGCTGAACGTTTGATGCTTCAACGTGAAAATGCTGATAAATTGTCAGTAGTGAAGCAAGATTCCAGCAGCTAATCTCTTTAATGGACTTGATTCCTGAAAGTGCAGGTAAAGATGTTAATGGTTTTCCTGTGGCTAGTGATTTAAAGCGTGAAATATCAGAATTTGATTCACGCATCTCAGAATGGTTCGAAATTTGAAAACTCATTCAATTGTACAACCAGAAAATGTATCGTCAAAGTATGCGGGTAGTATTTGTTCTGGCAATACATCGAGAGCCTCCTTCAAGAGAAGATTGCAGTGCAAAGTAAGACACAACCTAGCAATTGTACAGCTTCGTCACATGGAAGAAAAGCTAGAGAATGAAGCTAATATTAAAAATCTGAAACGTCAAATGGAGCTTCGAGATGCACAGTGTGAAGTGCAATTGACTGAAGTAGAATTTTTACTGTGGGATACAGAATCAACTGGTGATTCAATAAAAGGTGATGGAGATTTCAAGTACTTACAGTGCCATTGACAAGCTGCAGAGAAGCGATTGCAAGTACTGAGCAAAAACCTTCATCACCCAAAATAATTAACTCACTTCAAGATGGTGCTAAATTTCCTTCTACAACTGTGCATAAAAATGTTATGCAAGCTGACGTTTCATCATTGAATAGGCCTCGATCTGCTTCGCTACAGAATGAAGCCACACATACTAGAATAAATATCAACCATGATGGCTATGCTGCTTCTGATTCGTGTCACGAAAGAGTACGTTTTGCAAGGACGCATAATGTACACACATACTCCATTGAGAAGAGATGATAATGCTGTTCTAAATAGAACTGGAAATGGTCAAAGCTATAACTTTCAGCCTGTGAATCGTGCGATGGCTCAGGATTGTCCATTTGCGGCTGTACCAGATGGAATGGCTGGCCGTGAACACCATCACGTTTTCCGGATAAATGAAAGTAGTGTCAATGAGTTGCCGGCTGTGCATGAGTTGAGTCTGTTAATGATCATGTTTATGAATCTGGGCCACAACATTATTCACAGCGGAGGACAAGAGAATCATTTCCAGTTATACAGCATCACCATTATCATGGGCGAGAAGAATCCTTCTTTCACAAACCTAAGTTACCTGTGTTCAATGGAGATTCTTTGAAGTATATGAAGTACAAATTTTGACATCCACCTGGCACCGAAACGAGAAACAAATAGCCAGAAGCTTGTGTGTTTGTTGCAATATTGTGGGGAGAGAATTGTCCGAAAATGGATACAAGCTTGCTAGGCAGGGGCTGTTTGAAGAATATGGTCAGCCTCATATTATCGCTGGTGCATGTGAAAAAGTTCTAAAAGAGTTCCCAAGTGTGCGTGATGACAAGCCAGAGCAGCTATTGCGGATATCACAAGTAATGGAGCGATGCCTGGGAACTTTAGAAGACATTGATGAATTTGCAAATATAAACACCCTGGACACTATGGGAATGCTAATGGCCAAACTTCCTGAAGATGTTCAGGATGGCTGGCCACATGAAGCCCTCAGGATTCAAAGAAAGACTGATCGTCAGGCAAAATATTGTCACTTGGTCGATTATGTTTGTAATTGGGCTGATGTGAAAAACTCAATGTATGGGAAAAAGCTCAATGAGATTCGTCACAAAAAGATTCCTGTGAGTGTGAGAAGAAACAGAGCTGCAACCTATAATATTGATGCTGAAGCCAAAAGGAAACACATTGATCAAAAACGGGATTTGAGATGTATGTTGCTGTAAACCGCACAATTTGTGGAACTGCCCAGACTTCAAAAGCAAACCGCATGAAGAAAAGATCAGTCTTTTAAAGGAGCAGAAATTGTGTTTCAAGTGTCTGTCTCCTGGTCATCTGGCACGTAATTGCAAGAA